CATCATTCTAAAAAATCACATAAAGGCATAAGTTGGTAAGATTCTCCACAAATTTTGCAAACTGAGTTTAAGATAAACAAGGTTTGAGAGACACATCTTCCATTTCACTATTGCTTCCTCTAAGGATTTAAAACTTGATAATATAAATGTTAACACTAATTCCACAGATTTTTGTGGAATTACTTCTTGTGAGTAAAGATCACAAAAGTAAGCGAAAGATTTTCAGAAAATAAAATCCTTAAAATATTCCTGGCCTCGCAACAAGATGGTTACATGTCTCCTACCATCTCCTCTACTTGGGGAAGAAGTAGAGAAGTTGTCCACTTCATATTGAGATAAAGTATACAGAAGCTGAAAAACTACTTCTGCTGTCCCCTATTCAGAAAATGTTTCATCCTTCTGGAAATAAAAAATGTGAACACTGATTTTTACTTATGGTACTTGTGTAGTTTTAGCAGAGGGCTTTCATCCTGACATCCTGAAGAGCTGGCTCCTTCAACAAGCCAGCTTCAGGATACCAGAACACTATACTGTAAAGAGCATATTCAAAACTTTATCAGACAGACTTGCTCTACAGAGGGGCCCCAACCACAGTGTTTTGAAATGTAGCAGCAGAAGGTCCTAGAATTCATCTTTCTTGGCAGAACTTACATTACAGTTCATATGACCTCAATTTGGCACAGGTTTTTGTTTCATAAAACCTTCAGAAAATTAACGTACTGCATCTATTTTAATGACATATTGCTGCACAAACATGAAGTTATGCACAGCTGTGGTACCTATGACTATCAAACAAATTATGAGCAACATAACAAATTAACACAAGCCAAGAAGAGCCACCCATATATCGTTTGACTATTTGCAAGAATCCTTTGTGTAGCAACAGGAAAATACTGTTTTAATGTCACAAAAACCAAAAAAATAACATCTTTTGCTCTGGCATGGTTTCATTAAATGGGTTACATCTGCTGTAACAAAACTCAAGAATAACGTTTATATTTGCCTTCACAAGTTAAGGAATCTAGCTGCCTAGTAAGACAATAAGAAATAAATATACAAAGCAACCCAATTCTTTCACAGGGTTGTCAAATTAAGACGAAAGTCTTAATCTATCTTAGAATGCTTTGCCAATTTTAGCACATGAATTAGAGGTATTTATTTTCTTCCATGACACATCTGTATCAGTAAAAGCTCCAATAAAAATGCATCTTCTATTTATAACAGAAATTCTTTTGCTAGAAAAGTTGATACCGATTTGGTGGATCTAATCATCTGTATGAACAAAAAGTACTTTTTTGCACTAGTATAACCACACAGCATTAGAGACAGACTGAAAAAAGTTTTTCTAGGATAAACTTTACCTCTCACATCTCATGTTAGGGACACACCAGTGCTTATATGTATAAAAAAAGGCAGAGGTTTTCATTATTAACTGTGACTGATCACATCCTGATAAAACATCATAACACTACCTTAAAAAATAAAAAACAACTAAACCAAAAGACCAAGCCCATCCCTTCCCCACCTCCAAATTCTCAACTATATTTTATACTGCTTCACCAAAAGGAAGTTTCTGAGCAGAATTCTGTTAGGAACACTTTTCAGTCTACATTCTAGTGACTTCAAAAGCATGTGATTTTTTTACAACTGCTGTTCAGCTTCTCTAGACACCAGGGCAACAATACCCTCTAACAACTTCAGAGGACAAAGAAACAATGAGGCTGTATACTCCAGTGGTAAGAGATCACGGAACATCTGAAATGCAGGCAACTTCATCAAGTCCGTAGTGCTTCTTCATTTGAGGCACAGCATTTTTGTTCCTTGCCTAAGCCATGAAGTTAAAGGGCAACAGTTAACACTGACAATATCTGATAAATTAGATAAATTTTAGGAGGAAACCATTCAATTGCACTTGTGCAAATAACATATTTTGGCAAATAAGGGGTGTGATTTAAAGACTCTGCAAGGAGGAAGAGAAAGAAGTATGTTTATTTAGTGGTCATTTGTTTTTCTGCTGAGGTAGCAAGTGCTTGAATAAGCCTTATAATAAGATGAAAGCTTCAAAAGTTTTTGCCTTCCAATAACAACCACATGTTTCCTTTTGAAAGCCTGGGACACAATAAAATAAAAAGCTCAGCTAATTTTTACTGATGCTGTCAGTTTGTCTTCCTGAAATATTTTCATGTTGCCTATTTTTTTTGAGATCCTTTTTCACAGCCTAGGTTTTAGGAAAGGTACAGTATGGTTAACTAACTTTTGTTTATTCAAAGAGCTATACAAGTGCATTTACTGAAGTGCCTAGGGCCAATAAAGGATGAGTATCCACTGATGAAAGGCTCCACTGTTGTAAGAGTCGGCAACTGACAGGACACGTGAGCATTTCTCCAACCCAGCTTGTTTGGAACTAGTCCCACACCTAGACCTACCTAGGGAACTCGGTCCCATACTTGCGGTCTATTCAAGCACAATTGCCTCTCCAAAACATCTCTCTCCCAGTGGCTATCCCCCTTACATCTTAGGCCTCTGGGTTGAAACTACCATGTTGTGGTCAGATGGGACTTCTGGTTCGCAACAACCCAGAAGCCATACATCATTGTCAATCTAGTATGAACTGTTACCGGCTGTGAGCTATGGCTCAACCGGGAAGTCCACAGTAAAAGACCAAGACTCCCTGCTAGTTCAAAGTTGTTTTCAAATTGCCTGTTAGGGCAGCAGTTTGTATCAACAGAACAAGCATAGTTGCTTAAAAATCAGGAATTAAAGATGTAGTGAGTTTAGAAGTGAATTTAAAACCACAGAAGCTTTAGTTTATACACCTCAACTTTTTTTACTTAAGTAGAAGTTAAAAAAAACCTTACAGTCTCTCCCTGGCACACATTTAATCAACACGGGCAGTTCTCTCATTTCTTACTCTGCTTCACTAAGCCATTTCCATATATTTCCTAGAAGTCACTTTGCTTATCTGTATCAGAGAGGTACAACTACAAAGACAGCTTGCTCCTCTAGGATAACAGAAATGTCTAGTAGATAAAAACCAAAAACATTGTTAAGATACTTAACTCCAGAAGCTTCAGGCAGGTTATAAATTATGATCAAGGCATTACATAACGTAATGATTCATTAAAAGAAGTTCTCATTTCTTCACAAGTCAGTGCTAATCTTCAACTAATATCTTTAATCAATCACACTGCACTTATTTTGAAACTTGGCAGCATTTTGTAGAATGCAAAATGCATGTGAAACAGCAAAATAGAATCTTATTTCTGATTTTGGGGGAGGGGGCGGGGGGAGGGAGTATTTATGAATATTTACTCTAACACAGTGATGTCACTGAGTACTGGATAATGTCCAGCAAAGGTCCACAAAAATTATGAAGGGACGGGAATATCCCCTATGAGGACAAGTTAAGAAAGCTAGGACTGTTCAGCCTGGAGCAGAGAAGGCTCTGGGGTATCTCATCAGTGTACATAAATACCTGAAGGGAGGGTGCAAAGACGACAGAGCCAGGCTCTTTCCAGTGGTGCCCAGCAACAGGACCAGAGGCGATGGGCACAAACTGAAACACAGGAGGTTCCCTCTGAACATCAGAAAACACTTTTTTACTCTGAGAATGACTGAGCCCTGGCACAGGTTGACCAGGGAGTTTGTGGAGTCTCCATCCTTGAAGATACTCAGAAGCCCTCTGGACACAGTCCCGGACAACTGGCTCTAGGTCCTGCTTGAGCAGAGGGTTGGACCAGATGACCTCCAGAGGTTCCTTCCAACCTCAACTGTTCTGTGGTTTTACATAGATATATAATATACATTTTTTTTACATATATATTTAAAAATCTACTTTTATTTTTGATTTTTTTTAATTTAAAAATCTAACGTAAAGTCTTAATACACTGCTTTATCACACACAAATATATAAGCAAATAGTATTTGTATTGGTATCTCAACTAACTCAAAACCACACATAAATTAGTTCATATATAATATGAGTTAAATACAGCACAACTGCTTTGATGACTATAAATCACCTATGGAAGAGCACATTTGCTGAGACATTGAGTTTTAAAGTAACTAAAGGCACACGTGCCTTAAAATGGTGGTACTGTATAAGCATGGACTACAGGAGTGCTGGAGAAAAAGGCTTCCCTTCTCTGGTGAAGTACACAAGGAAATCGTACTGTATCACTGATGCTCTGTAGGGGGAATAAGGAAAGCTGCTCCATTCTAAAACTGAAAATAAGCATGCAGACATTCACTGAGTTGTATTAGCAATGTTAATTCAAAACCACTGTTTTAAAGAAACCTCAGTGCTTGTCAAACTGCACTTGGTACCTCACCAGGATGCCCAGTTCAAAGCAGATTCAAAAGAAACTCAATTTTTATTGGCAATCTTCTAAATGAGAACAGATTAAACCAAAATTTCCTAAAACAGGGTTGTAAGTATTAAACCACAGAGCTAGTTGTCTATGACTAAATCCCTCAAGAGCTGCATAACCTTATAAACTATCTAGTTCTTATGACTAGATAGTAACATTTAATAGAGCAGCACACAACGACAACATCATGCTAGAGCAAATATTCATGACCATTCAAAAGAAAAAAAACAAAAAGGGAATAAATTGGAAACAAGATTCTATTTTCTCTCTTTCAAAGAGGAGATATGTAACGAAAAAAAGTTATTGCAGAGGGAGCTTGTAAAATTATTTATTAAAAAAAGTTTTTTTTTTTAAATAATCAAGACCATAAGAGCCTTGATCCCTAGCATACCAATCACAATACTCCCACTTTCCTATTAAACACTTAGTAGATTATACTAAAAAAAACTTCCAAACAGCATTTGTGAAAGTTGAACTTGAAATAAGCTTAATATTTTTCCACAGCTTAGAAAGCTAGAATGAAATTTTTGTCTTCAGAAATAAAAGCTGAGTCAACACACTATTGTTGGTATATTCTTTGTCTGAAAATGCAGGGGTAAATTCAGGAATCAAATTCCTCAGACTTCTTACCTTATCACTTTTTTTCCCAGATTTCTTCTTCTTAGAATTATCCTTCCAAAGGGATTCTACAGCAATATATCCCTGAAGACTCCAGTCATACAGCTGTGTACCAGCAACCTTTGAAACAAAAGATATTAGAAAGCATGAACTTAATCATCTGGGAAGTATTATTTTGCTTCTTGTTTAAGTGGAAGAAGTCTCAAAACACAACATTTTTAACATCTTCCTGTTCAAGCTCAGGGAGTACAGCATTAATAAACATCTTGGGGAAAAAATGACACATGAGGAATAAGAAAAGACAACTTGCTAAAAGAATCTGAAGTCGACCTGAAAATGTATCTGTATAACAAGGGGTGGAATGATGCTGCATGGAAACAATTCTGGTTTTCTTAGTTTTCAATGGATTTAACTTAATGCAAATTATTTCTTAATTTGACCGTACCCATTTTAAAGACAAAAAAAAATATAACCTACTTAGTTTGTCACTATTTTGCAATTTTACTTTTTCACTGCTTTGACAGAACAGTAAGAATACCCCTTTGTTTCTATTTGATATTTAGAAGAAAGGCCTAATTTGCTGATAGATGGCTGTAACCAGCTGTCAACTCTCAAAACAGGAGGCAGCTAGGAAAGATGGCGTTTGCTCTATTAGACCAACAGGTAATTTTATGACAGGAAAAATCACTAAGTCTAATAAAAGAGTATCTCCTGACCCTTCCATGATACGGAATTCTAATGTTCATTGCATCCATTAAAACTCAAGAGTGTTAGTTTTTTACAGCTCCAGGCTCAGGTCAGTACTCACTTTCATATCGCTGCTAATTTTCTTACATATAAACAACAGCAAAAATGGGCAATCTGCCCAAACAGACAGCTATTAAACTAAAAAACTTACAAAATGAAGAAATAAGAAAGTATCACCCTATCTCCCACAGCAGGGAAAGCTGGAAAACCAAAACTATAAGAACAGGGCAAGCATGAATGATATTTCTGAAAGAGTTTTCTGATGTTTCTGAATGAAAAGTTTAGGTTTCTCCTAGTCTCCAGCAATCTGCTGTTCAGAGATTTCCTGAGCCAGAGGTGATTTACTATGTGTATAACAATGCTCAAGGAGTTTCCCTCCCATGAATTTGTTTCACTTCCTCCTGAACCCCATGCAAATTTTTAGCATCCACAACATCCCGTGCCCAGGAGTTCTACCACTGGGCACACATAGTACGAAAAACCACTTCCCTTTGCTTGTCTGAACAAAATTAAGTACATTAGTTACGTATCACAATGGTATGGGATGTGCTTCTGGGCAGAGATCATGGTACTACCTTACAGAAGAGGCTACTTAACAACTCGAATGAAAACAAACCCAAATCGCCCACTACATTTCCAAGTCACAACTAAATCCAAAATGTAGGCTGTTTTAAATACAAATAGCTAACATATTTGTCACCACATCTGACAATTACAGTTGTACTTTAGTTTTAAGCAAGTGGGTATGATGCACTGAGTTTTCTCTACATTTGAAGGTTATAAAAGTCATCAGAAAAAAAGCACACCAACTGTTCCAGGGATGAATGTGTTAAATCGCAAAAATCTCTCAATTAAAATATTACAGGTATAGACAGTTACCTTCTTTTTCAGTATCAGGAGTGTTCATTCTCAAGTACTTCAACAAACTAATTCTGAAAGTCAGAGGAGCCTATGGCTCATCTGGAAAGAGAGTGTGATCAGTTGTGCAAGCAGTACAAACCTACCAGGACTGAAAAATAACTACAACAAACAGAGGGTTTTTTTCTGTCTGCAATGCTATTGAGGACACAGCTATCAACATAGAATGACAAACAACAACAACTATCCATAAGCCATTTCTTGTTCCTGCTTAAAAATACTCCATTAAACTACTTTACAAACATTCTAAATACCTAACGGTACAAAGTTAAAAATATTCTTCTTATAGGAGTCATACGACCAAGTGAATTACAAATTGCACTAAACAAGAAACCGGTCATTCACAGTACTGGAGTAAAGTAGCTACATCACAAGGTACAGCAACCCAGATAGTTTAGTCTGCCACAATCAACTGGTGTTTCAACACTGTACACACTTCCCACCAAGAGCTGGGACCCACACACATGTTCACAGTTCGCATGGGTTGAAAAATACAATTCTAGAGAGACTGTAAGCTACAAGTTACAGGGTCAACGGGAACATAGCCAAGAAATTTTTATAACTGCCCAATGTATCCTCTCATGGACACAACAGTAGTCACGCGTTAGGCCTGTGTTTTATACCTCTCTTTCTCATGAAGCAGTTGAAGAGGAAGCAGGGGGGTACTGCAGTTGCCACCACTATCCTTGGAAGTGGCAGTTCCAACCAGGAAAAGCAAAAGGAACAATAATAATACAAACGATTCTTTCAATTGTTCAAAGTGTTCGTTCCAACATTCATACAAAGAGTTCCTTTCAAAGAGGGACAAGTTTTTCCAGTCAGTCATCTGGGATTCTTAATTGCTAGAATACAACAATTTCCAGCTTGTTTGTGTTAAATCACAACATGCTAAAATATCATCTCTGTTCAATGCAACACTGTAAGTAAGTTTGTATGCTAGAATCTGATCAAACAAGTTCAAAAGTCAGATAGAGTGGTTCTCAACAGGGACTCTGAAATAGTTTGAAAGTGACCTTGGGCCACAAACACCCCTACTAGGCACAACTGGGATAGCATCAACAATTCCTAAGACCTAATGACCAATTTAGGTCCCTAAGACCTAAAATTGCGTGCTGAGAACCTAAACTGAGATTCTGCTGGCTTTTCTACATTTGCATTGTTAACAAAGTAGTCACACTGCAATTCCACAAGCATTTCATTCTGCAGCAAACATGGATCAATTGACCCCAACTCCTCCTTTTCAACCCACAGTTCCTGTCATTGTGTCATGCTCTCAGTTGTGTCAGTACAACTGTTCATGCCTTACAGAATGAATTGGGCAAGTGATGAGGTATAGGCTCAAAAGAGATAGAAATAATTTCGTTTGTTGTCAAAGAAACAAACTTACGTATTAAGAAGCTTTTCTTTCTTTCAAGAAGGAGGGAAGCATAACACACACTACTTTCGGAAATTTGATAAGTTCTAATTACAAAGAACAAAAATTAATCCTAATGATAAAGAGACTGATTTAAGTAACTTCACCATGGAGAGTTTTTTCTAGATGAAAGATAAGCCACAGTAAATACAAAATATTTTGAATGTATTATGATTAGCTGGAAAGTAATACAGTTCCAAAACACTGGTTAAACTTCCACCAGAACAAAATAAACTTTAGTATTAAATTCAGTTCCCTTACCACATATACAGTCTGACCACTTGTTCAAAGTTATACAAATTAAAGTAATACTAGCAATTAGGAAATCTGTGATTTATTAGAATGATTACTAAAGCAGGGAAAAAAAAAAAACACCAGTAATTAGTCTGTGCATTTCTTCCATTTCCAGTTAGATGAATAGTGTCTGAAAACTACCTATTACCGATGACAAACTGTTGCTACAACTTCACTTAGCAACTCATACATTTCAATTAAACAAAAAGGTTTTCTTCTAGACAGATGCATCAAGTGTTGTACCTCAACTGCAAATATACTTTGCTGTGTTTATTTCCAATTCTCCAATAGAAAGTCTTTTCCTTCCCACCGTTATTAAAAACCTAAACCACCCAAAACATTTTTAGCCTTTTAAAGTATGGTCAAATCTGAAAGTTCACCGCATTAAGGGAACTACGCCACTGTAAACAAAATAGCAGTGATGAAGTACTCAAATGTAGATGAAATATTAAGAGAACATAATATAAAGAATAAATTTTAAAGAATTAAAATTTATGTTACAGAACATTCTCTATACTGTTCAATTAACTTTGTAAGTGAGCTTTGTACTGCAGGCATCCCTTTCTAGGCTTACAGATATTTTCTGAAAGGCTTATGAAACATTTCAAAATAATTAGTAGAGAGGAAAGTGCTTCCAATTTCAGATTAAAGCATAAAAATTATGGACAGTAAGATCTGATATGCTTAAAACTTTGCTTCTTTAAGAAAAGAAAAGTGCAACAGAGATTAGAGGAACCAAAACAGTATCTAGGATATCGCTCTCTCCACAAAGTTTCCGAACTCTTATGTCTAGTGTCCTGACCAAGTCAACAAAGCTAAACCTATTCCAATCAAGTTTCAGGCTCATGGTCTCGTATCAGATTTTTCATTACAGTCAAACTAAGAACTGTGAATTAATCAAAGGGCAATCACGCACTTCAAAGTTTTCGTAAAATAAACAAGGTATTGTGAAGCTGTTAGTAGCAAATCCATAGTTAAGACTGAACTGAGCTTCTTTAAAAACAGTATCAGTTTGAACACCATTCAGTAACTTCCCACTTCACTGTTCAGAAGGCAACTAGAATTTTAATACACAAGTTTCCAACAGAAATGCGTATGCTTCTTAAATGTTGATGGTTTTTTTCCTGTCACTTGCATAATTTTCACTCCCTGAGAATAAGTCAACAGAACTATTTGTATTTAGAGCATCTGAATCCTGGAAGCACTAGAAAAAGATTCCATCAAAGATCAGGGTATCATTGTGCTGGCAGAGTTCAAACAGTGGTTTTGACTGTCCCTAAATCAATGACCTTTCAGTTTTCAAAGAACATCATATGTACTTGAGAATATCATATTTTCATGCTGACACTTCAGTGTTGTTCACAAGTCACCTTGTGACTGGACAGCCAATTTACCAAAGTCTGAAATATAGAGTTTCTGACACACATGCACTGCAAGTGGTTAAAAGCTGCATTTGAAAAATAACGTGGTAGAGAACTGAGGAATCTGCCAGTACAATTTAAGTGTGGACAGCAAGGCATATGAACTGACATAGTAGGGGCTGTAAGCAACCGTCCGGTCTCTTCAGTTCTTCCTTTCACAGGAAACCCACTTAAGTAACTGTGAGTTAATATGTTTCTTATGTGCCTGAAATAACAAATGCATAAACAGGAAAGGCATCCAATATGCAGCAGAGTTCTCACCCCATTCCAGAATGTGCATGCTATCTTTCTTAAAACTCTATCCAACAAAAAGCAGAAAACGTCAAGAATAATTTTTACCCCAAAATGTTGTTCCTATGATTTCTTTATAAAATCCGCCCCCCCCCCCCTTTTTTTTTTCTTCTGTCTTTCAAACCCTGTTTTCATTTGCTTTCAAGATATTTCTGGCTTCCCTAGTATTGTAAGTAAACACACAAACTGTACTTAGTATGCATATTTACATTAATTTATAATTACTTGAGGTTAAAGAATCAGAAAGGAAATTACATTCCACAAACTGAAGACACTACTGCAGATGTTAGAAAAAAAGTCACTAAAAGAAGTAGATGTCTGACTGCCCTTCAGCCTAGAATGCATGGTTCTTAACAAAATGACAGTTATTTTGTCAAAGTGCCAAGCACACTGACATGGCTTTTAAAAATGGATTACCAGTTAATTTGAAGTAAAAGACACTTCTCCAAAGGTATCATCACTGACCTTGGCAATAGCAACTGCTTGCTGAGGGTAGTACATGGAGGCACCAACACCCATGAGACTTGCAGGATACACCAACTTCTTTATTTTTGAGCCTGTTTCATAACAAAAAACAACAAAAACAAAAAACTCAAAACATTGTTAGAGTATATGTTAACCAAGACAGCTGAATGGCCCTACCTTTTTATTCATATTCAAAACAATTTTATTACAGTTTAGCATATTTTCTGTTCATCCCCACTGGTTTCTTAAGAAACATGACTACTCTGATCAGTAGTTATTCTTTTAACCTTTTTAAGAGAGTATTTTATTAACATCTTTCCAGAGTGAAAATTACTTTACAACTATACTTACTGTAGTAATACATAATTTATTTCTGTACTGAATAATGAAGTAAAAGCCACAGTTAAGACATATTTAAGAGAATTATACCAACGGATACTCTTTTCTAAACTACAAGGAAAGACTCAGGCAAAGAAAGGTTAGGATAGCATTCTTTCGATACATCAAGCAGAACAAGAGACATTCCAATACAAACTTTACAAGTTACCTTCACTCACAAATACTGATTCTTCTACAACTGCTCTTATGAATAATTTTTCTTGATTCACTATAGCAATTTGCAAAGCATTTGAAAGTACTTTTAAACTAAAGTACTTTCAACTATGCTATATGCCTATTGCTCAGTCCCCAATTAAAATTTGAACATTTAAATCAATTTGAACTCTCTATTCAATTATACAAGTCAAAAATCATTTAACTGCCTGAAAAGTTCATCTTCTTATCACAACTTGGCCACAGGTTGTGTATCCTGGCTGGCCAGTGACAATATGCATCACCAAATCAGTTACACAGCATGCTGCAGTTTATCCAGTCAGAAAGGAACATAGAAGGGAGCAGGTAACGGAGAACAGCAAGCAGTACAGGAGAAAAAAGGTCATAGAACAGACGTACAGCAGTCAGGATGCAGTAGTTCTTTTCCTCATAGAACAGCCTGTTCTATATGGGAAGCCACACGTGCTTCTAATAAAGGAATAATGAATTTTGAAGAGGAAATGCATATTAGAAGTGTTTAGTGTTTCTACTAACATATGCTCATGATGAGATGAGAAATTTAGCAGTAAACAAGAGACATTCACAAAGTGATGTTGCTAGTCTTGTGAAGAGCGAACTCGGTTCCAATTAGCTATAAGAATGCACAGAAAAGGCAAGCTTCATTGCATCTTTACAACCAGAAAAATTACACTTTTGTTGTAATTTCTTGGAATGGGGAAGTCTTCCATAGTGATAGGTTAGCAGTGTGCCTACAATATCACTTTAGGAATAAATGTAACAGTTGAAGGTATTAATGCCTTCCAGCAGGCTGCTACATGCTGGAGATAGCCATTAGAGGGAAGTTTAGGAATACTCCCATATCTGTTCCAGCACTACTCAACAAGGTTAGAACAAATTTTCTTCAATGGTATTTTAAACCAAGCTGGATGACTGCACAATATTCATATGATTAATCTCTGAATGCCATACTTGCTACTTAGTGGGCAGCTGTATCTTCAAGTGTTGTGGTTAGATCTGGAAGACTTTTTTTTTTGTACCTTCCAAGAGGGCAATTTTTCCAGTGAGACCAAGGCAGGGAAGAAATAAAAAGAGAGGACATTTGGTTCTAACTTTCTGTAGCATCAAAATTGAGGGGCACTTCCTTCCACAGTTTGTATATTTTCTGGAAATAACAGTCAGTATTGTAAACTATAACCAGACAGAAAGTGTTAGGATGGAAGCTGTAATTTTAAAAGATTCACAAATCAGGCATTTGTATTATGCGGGATTTTAATTTTTATTAAACTTAGGACCCCGTAATCTTTCAGATCCAGCCCCAAGATTGCACTTCCCCCCTCGCAATTTTGCTACAGCTGTAAAGGATGGAAGCTGATCTCATTCATAATCACATAACTCAAGAAGCAGGAATTTGAAGAGAAAGAACTTCAAATGGGTAAAGTTGGAGACCTTAATTTTCATTAATAAAAATATGCTAGGGAAAAAAAAGAAAAAGTCCTGCTTTCATCATCTTCACTGGAAAATTAAGTATTTTGAGGAGTGCATATGTAAGTGCATATATTCACAGAATGCTTTCCATTTCTACATAGCCAAGCACACACTTCCAGTTTTTTCAACACGTACAGGCCCCACAAAGGTGTATTTTTATCCAAAGCAAGTCCTCACTAGTATTTAAATTCTACAACTTCGCAGTTCCGTTACCTACAAGTTTTCTTCTTGTGTTACTTCATTTCACTATATTAAGAATACCTCAATACAAACACAAAATACTTTTTCACAATTAACATTTCTTAAAATAACTTTTATTTTATGAAAGCATAAACATCTTCGTTTCTTCGATGAGTGTGATAAAATTAACTGTATCACATTTCTATAGCACAAAACGTGCATGTATTTATAGTACACCCAGAGTGCACAAGTATTTTTGCTGAATATCACCATCTACAGCAGCTCTGTGCCTGGACTCACAGTACTTTGAAGGAATTTAAATATACAACTAATTGTACATGTATCACAGTTCAGGAACCTCTGTATTTTACCATAATTTATTCCTCTCTAGTTTTCTACAGTGACATATGTGATCAAGAACTTACATAATTAATAAGATTTTTAGGCTAAAAATAAATCCTTTCCTACTTTTGATATAATAAGCTAGAACTGGAAAAGATCAAAGACTAGATTCCAGTAACAAATACAGTATTCATAAAGAATAATTGATGGTTATTACACACCTTTTACATTAAGTTTCTTTAAAATTGGAGGAACACTGTAGAAACATGCTTGTACAGGTAAGTCAGATCCCATGTGTCACAATTAAAAATTAGTATAAAAAAATTTATCCCAAATCATAACATAAGCAGTTCAAAAGGTTCCCCTTACCTCTAGCAAGAAACAATCCAACAATTCCAGCAAAACCTATCACACCAAGCCTTGGATAAAATCCAGCAGGGGGGTTTTGGAGAAACTCACAGCCCTCTGAAAAGAAGTCAGAACAAAGTGCTTTAATGTAATGTGAAAGTGGTTTTGTGATAAGGAATCATCAATACACGCTGGCAATTGTTACAAAACATAAAGAGTTATCAAAACACATTTAACTATCATGCACATTTTAGATCTGCTGGCACAAAATTCAAAGCCTTTGAGATCTTCTCTAGTGACACATGAATGAAACTGAACATCGTATTGTATTTACCAATTTTCAAAGAAGCTTTTGCCTTTGCTGCTGGGCCATCTGTTTTGTTTTGCTCTTTTGCATCTTGATTATATCATTTTCAAATTAGTGATAAAAACATTTGCAAAATGGATTCTTACATTTACATGTTAACAAGAATTAGTTTCAATAAAACACCGTACAAAAAACAAGTCACAGAACAAAGGAAAGACACAGCATAAACAAAGCTCACTCCAACATGGGAGTCTGATGGGGGAATGGAAAACTATGAAAAACTTTCCATACAAAGGAGTTCAAAAGACAGACTGTTAAGTTTAAGGAAAAGAGGTGCAGTATCTGAAATAAGCTCTAGATAGCATCCATGCTTGGTCCTGATGAGCCTAAGTATGAAAGGATGGTTCCAAAACCAAAGATAAATTCAAATTATTTTGGATTAATTCTAAATTCTTAGGAGATACAAGGAAGTAAACCAAAATGAAAAGGCTCAACATTTCAAACAAAAGACCTAACACTTGTGACAAGTAATAAACATTGCAGGAAGTTTCAGTTACTAGGCTGGGTCAAGCAAATACTACCGGCTGGGATTAAATTGTGAGGCTTTTTTTTCCTTCTTTTCTTGCATAACTGTCATTTTTGGTGACATTGGTTGACATATGTGCAGGTCTTGGATTTTAATTGTTTAGAAATGTAATTTCATAATGACCTACAAAGGAAATTTAAACAGATATACAGTGCAAATAAAGTAGTCTTAGATGCATTAGAAATTATATATATACTGATGCTTAACTGAATTCCCTTAAGAGAAGATATAGTACCATCCTGCATTTTAAATTGCTAGTTAAGAAAACTAACTGATTTACCTCTACCATGCTCAACAGCTTTTTCTAATTTGGGCATAGCTTTGGCATAAAGATCCTAAAAAACAAAAGAAAACAACAGTAAATAGATACCATGTAAGCAAAATATTAACTACAGATTGTAACTGACCTGACAAAGGACAGAAAAAAAGAGAAAATAATTTAAAAAGCATTGGGTCCCTGAAGTAACTTCTTTTTATTCCCATTTCCACCCTCCACTTACAGGGCTATGCTTGCTCAACATTACATTTAACCTAACATACACCTTTTTCTCAACCTTTTTCTCTCTTTGAACACAGATGAAATATAATACCTCAAAACACAGAAGTCAACTCCAATATTTCACCGAGTTCCTGATCAGGTAACAAACTTCAGATTATCTCAGGTTTCTCAGTGTACACTGGTATTACAAAAATACTTGATTTGATGCAAAGGAAGGAAGTAGAACGCTGTAATAAACTCCTTCCTAGCACTTCACAGGGGAACATGACTCATTCTGCAAGGTGATAAATTCCATTTTCCAAGAGACTATCTTAGGCTAACAAAACAGCATCTTTGAAGTGAAAAATGAGAAATGAGATGTCCATACAATGTCCAAAGTAAATCAAAGAGCACTACATCAACCCCACAAATTAGTTACAGATTTTTTTCCCCCAGACTGAAAATACGCAGGGAATAAAAGAATTCTCACTGCCTTTTATCAAAGTAGAAAAAAAAAAATTCTCAATAAGAAAAATGCTGCTAATTGTTATGAGGCTAATAATCCTTCGGAGAGACAGTGTTAGGACTGTCTATCAATTAGGGAATAAATTCATAAACATGTATGCCCAAAGCTAAAGTACAGAATGGTCTCCCAATACCACTTGAGCTGTATCTGTGCAGAAGTGAAAGCATTTGTTTAGGATACTGCATGGGGGATTATATCTTCAGAACTTTCGCTTCCTCACTGGCAAGAGTGACTTAAAAAAAAACAAACAAAAATCATAAAAAAAGTGTTAGCATGCGATGTACAACATAACTTTAAATGAACATCGGTCTTACTAAAAGCCAATGAAAAAAGAAAGAACATGCTGTAAAGATCCTAGAGACTAAGTCTGATCTTCTGTCACAGCTCACACATAACTGGCTCATTTCTGCATCTGTGTTTTGAACCAACTTTCCATGGCAGTTAAGCAAGCAATGTTGAAAAAGTAAAATGGATATACGAATATAACCAATTTTATTCTCATTATCCTGGGTTATGTTTTCAATTTTAAAGACAACTGAGACACACCTAAAATGTTATTTTCTTTAACACAGCAGGGAGTGGGGGTGGTGTAAAACCAAAACTATCTCTGACTACAGTTAAACAAGCAAGATGAGCCCAAACCCATTGTCCCGGTTTCAGCCAGGGTAGAGTTAATTTTCTTCATAGAAGCTAGCGTGAGGCTGTTTTGGATTTTGGATGAGAAAATGTTTGATAAAGTGCTGATGTTTTGAGTTGTTGCTAAGTACTCAAGGACAGTCCAGCTTCTCGTGCTGGCCTGCTAGCAAGAAGGCTGTGGGTGCACGGGAAGCTGGGAGGGGACACAGCTGGGACAGCTGACCCAGGCTGGCCAAAGAGATATTCCATACCATATAATGTCATGCCCAGTACATAAAGCTGGGAGGAAGAAGACGGAAGGGGTGGAGGGACGTTCGGAGGGATGGCATCTGTCTTCCCAAGAAACCATTACGCGTGATGCAGCCCTGCTTCCCTGGAGATGGCTGAACTCCTGCCTGCTCATGGGGAGTGGTGAATGGATTCCTTGTTTTGCATTGCTTGCGTATGCGGCTTTTGCTTCTCGTATTAAACTCTCTTTATCTCAAACCATGAGTTTCCTCACTGTTACTCTTCTGATTCTCTCCCTCGTCCCACTGTGGGGGAGTGAGCAAGTGGCTGTGTGGGGCTTAGTCGCTGGCTGGGGCTAAACCACGACAGTCCATTTTGGCGCCCAACATGGGGCACAAAGGGTTTGAGATAACGACAGGTTTGATTGGAATGTGCTAGATAGAATTTATAGCTGTTATTGCTGTTTAGCTCTTAACTGACAGGTTCCTGAGCTTGCCAAGGGTTTGCTTGCCTTACGCATATTAGAGTCCAGTGCTCGTTAGCGGCTTTTTGCTTTCGCTGCTGCCATGCTGCTGTACTGCTTATCACCTTACTCTGCTGTGCCTGGGAAGATTTTGATAACAGCAATGGCCTTGCACCTAGCTGGCAGGTGGCCAGGGCATCGCTGCTGTTTCTGTGCTGCTGTACTGGACAGGCTGGACCTCCACTGTGAACTTGAGTAGAAGGGACTGTGACCTGTGGATGAGTCCACGTGGGAGCAGGACACCCCGAAGCGTCTGTGGCCATGTGTAAGCCCATATGTGTAAGCCCATGCCAGAGCAGTTATATCTCGAAACATCTGTGGCCATGGTTGTGTCTGTGTCGCAGCAGGTATACCTCTCATGGGATCGTGGCACACAGGTAAGTCTACATTGGAGAAGGTACATCTCGAAGCATCTGCAGTATGTGGATAAGTCCAAGCTGTAGCAAGGGCAAGGGGAGGAGTTCACTGCAATGTTAAACCCTATGGCCCAGTTCAAAGGGCCCAAGGGTGGAGATTGTAATGGAAATACCTTTAAACTGTTGTAACCCATGATTTGAGTTGCATGTTATAGGAACTACTATAGCAGGAACCACCTGAACGAATGGAGGACAAGCCTTACAAGAAGCAGTGCAAGTGCAGCAGTGACCCAACCTGAGCTGGCTTTGGTGCCCAGTAACTCCATGCAACACCCCACCTCGCCTGTCCTGAGTGACCACCATAAGGGATGGAGCCCAAAGTCATGGACTAAACGAACTCAATGGACATTTCAGGGACATTTTGGAGGGAGGTCTATGGACTAAGGGGACGATAATCTGTGTATTATATTAAAGGATAGGAAGGGGGGGGTGGTTAATGAGATTGTATTGGATAGTGTG